AATGCATTACTGTGTAAGTTTGATAACGTTTTATGCGAATTTAAGTTAAATAACAAAGTACATGCTTTATTTTGAACTTTGCAATGATAACATATTTTGCCAATAAAACCAGCTAAATAATAAATAAAATCTAATAAATTATTTGTAAATACAAGAGACGATTTTTTAGTAATCTTAAAATGTTGGACCAATTCCAATAATGGAACCACGCTACAAAACACTTATTATTTTTGTAAACATTTGTGTATTTTTAATATGCTGTACGTGTCTTAAAAAAACATTTCATTGGCTTATTTCACCACATCATTCAAAATTCAATGAACAGGAACTTCTAAAAACCTCTGATGAAATAAAAATGAAAGCAAAGATCACTTTTGAAAAAAGTAACGAGTTATTGTTAGCACATGATCAATATTCAAGTTATCTTAGTCTTTTTTTTGGAAGTTGGAAAACACTTATCTCAGATTTAACAAAATATTGGTGGATAACAATAGTATCAACATTACTTCCCTTGTTTATGTATTGGAGATTCAAATGCAATATAAGAATTAAAGTAAGATTTTTTAAAACCTTAACTATTAATATTAATTTTTTTAATGATATGTTTCAACTTAGTTTTCTGAATGGAAAACAAATTGCAATCAAAACAAGCAAAATGAAAAAAATAACTCTAGACGGTTAACATTACCTGATTTAACATTGGCTAAGCATGCCAGAAGAGAATCTATGATTGATAAACAAAAGAAGTTATATACAAGTAATTTTAAGTTAAATATTTAGATTATCATAATTGTTTAATAATTATAGAAAAAAATTAGTTGACAGACAACAATCAATTAGCAATGCTACAACTGAACTCAATCTTTCAAGGAAATGGTCGTTTGATAAAAGTGAAGATATGCCATCAGAAAAAAAAAGGACACATCTTATTAGACGATATTAATATATTCAAATATGCTTATAATATTGTATATATATATATATATGTTACAACAATTAACTATGTGCCAATTAAAAAACTGATTGTGACATTGAAAGGTTTACAGTGTTGCTTAAGTTTTTACACAAATACTTCAAAATGATCAATACAAAATTTTTAGTTCTTAAAAAGTACTCACAGAAAAAAAAATCATCTTTAAAGTCATGGTAAAGTATTATTCAGTGGGCGGACTTATTTATTTTTAATAAACATATTTGTACAAACATATTTTTAAAAACACAATTAAAAATTTACATATATTTTACCACCATTTTTAACAGTCTGAATTATTCTCCCTTAACTTTATCACTATCATCTCTATAATGTAGAAACACAAAGCTGAACACAAATACCCCAAACATCATTGAGAAAGCGCTTGCATAATATGGATAAGCACTTAATATAAATCTTTCATACTGAGTGTGTTCTAATGGTATCACAGAAACCTAAAGTTAAAATATAAAAAATTTAATGTAAATCAATAGTTTTCTAAATTTAGCTCAAATAAGTACATTTGTTAAATTTATTAAAAATAAATTTATACCATCGTAGAGCTTCTAAGAGAAGTGAATCCAATCCTATTATAGTCCACTTTGAATTGATACACTCCATATGTGTCTGGGATTTTAAAAGTAAACTCATATTTGCCAGAACCAATATTTTTTAAGTTACCACGCCAAAATGGATCTATGCGAACAAATTCTACTTGTACATCATTGGCATTATGTGGAATCCAATTTCCATTCTCCCAACGTTCCAATTCAAGCAAATAAACCTTTAATACAAACAAAGAATAATTTTAATTTCAACAAATTTTTGATGGATTCAAAATACTTACAGCCATATCCATTATAGTATAAGAAGGTGGAGGAGATGTTTCTCCAAGTTTATGATGAGAAACAGATTTCACTCTTATTACACCTCTATCCTTTAAAGTCCATAATGCAATATTAATAGCTGCTTCCTGATTTCCTGAGATATCATGGGTTTTTCCATCCTATAAGATAATAATAAATATTTTGCTTATCTTTCATTATTTAATATACTCACAGTTATTCTTTGTATAGAAGATTTAAATGCAGAATCTGAAAAGAAATATAATGAACCAGAAAAAACGACTCTAGCATTGTTTCTTGCTTGAAGAGCTGCTATGAGCAAGAGATCTTTACCAGTTCCAAGTGAATACTATACATAATTAATAAAGCAGTTAGCAGATATATTTATTTAATTATACCAAAAAATATGAAGTCTTTTAAACTTACATCTTTAACAGCAACATCTGGTTTGTAGGAATATGCAGTATCTTCAGCATGTAAAATTGGTAATACAAGAAGATTTTGTGGATCAGCAATAATGGTAGTACCTTCGTACAATAAATCCTTATTATTGGGTTTCCCTACAATTTCTTCAGACTTAATCAAATTTGATGAACTTACAACCACTCTAGTATGCTACCATTATAATATATAACAGTAAATAAAATTTCTAGAATAACAAATACAACAATTAAAAATAATTATTACTTTTCCAGGATCGCTGGCATCATAATTTAAATGATCTATTAATAGTGAGTTTTCTTCTGTTACTTCAAAACCACATTCTGCAGCTAGTTCTCTGAGAGCAGATCCAGTTGAAGCACCACCAGTAAATAACACATTGCCTAGAATGTAAATGTAAAAGATATTTTGTAACATTAACAGCATAAAAAAAATTAGGAATAGTTACAGTAATCATAGCCATTCAAAATTATCTGTGATTTCAGTCTTACTATAAAATAATAATTATCTTACAGTAAGACTAAAGTGACACAAAAAGAAAGTAATATAGATAATTAGTATCAAGAACAGAACATTTATACGATCAACCTCAATGGATCCAAAGTAAAAATATTAGGAAGGTAATAATATTTAATATTTATTTAGACTGTATGAGCTTATTGCCAATATAGAATTCAATGCTATTCCTAGATCGTTGTAAATTAATAGTTTTTCTTTAGTACCTTTTAAAGAAGTCATAATTTTATAATTGTTGTATTATATCTGAAAGGGCATAATTTACTTTTTGATAGTTTTCAGAAGATACAAAAAATTTAATATTTTTACCTAATGTTTTATATAACTTATCAAATTCAAATATCAATATCCTGTGAAAAACTACACGTGTATATTATATTGATATCAGTAGATCAGTAGTCATATTGAAACATGCTACAAAATGATGATTTAACTTTATATAGTTCTTTATTTTGTAACAAATTGATTTCAAAATAAAAATAGCTAAGCAGTATAGTTTGTAACTCAAAAATATCTTTTGTTTATAAAATTAATAATTTAAAATTCAGGAATTTTCACCAAATCTTATAAATTTACAAAAATTAAATAATTTCATAAATTGATAACGTCTTACCTCCATTATCTATAAATTCAGTAATGGTATCTACTCCCAATGATCCACCAAATTCTTGAACATTTGGGGCAAATATTATCAAATTTTCATAAAAGTATTTTCCATACTTAGAAAGCACTAAAGAAGGATCGTCAGCTGATTTAAATGTTAATTGATATCCTCTATCTGTTAAATATTAAGATATTAACTTTAACTATTACATAATACATGGCCATATTGGTAACATATATAAGTGTAGGCAATTTTACAAACCTTTAAGAGTTTTAAAAAGTATCGAATGTGTTTCTTTGATCACTAAATTGTTCAACAGTACTAACGTTTCTTTAGATGCATTCGAAAAAGCTAAAAATATTAAAGTAAATAATGTGCACACGTAATAATTTAATAACATTTTATTTAAATAGAATCAGGTTTTAAGTAGAAGAATGACCAGTAAAATATATATTTAATTAACGGTTGAAATTTCTGTAAAAATAATAATTGAAGAATTTTACAATACACACTAGGCGATTCCAACCTAAGATAATACGTATCACAAAACGCCACGATGCCGGTAAATAACAATTCTACCAACTTATGTGTGGTAAATGTCGGATGCACAGTATTTGTTATAATCTAGTTGTATTATCACAGCTATATGAAATTCCAGACAATGTGATATTGTTGAAAATACATATTTCCATTGCTGATGAAAATACTGTTGAAATGATTCCAAAAATTTGGGTTAATAACAAACAATATGTATGTGTTTAGCCAAAACATTGTGTAAAGCCATCACGTTGAATAATGGAAATAATTTTTTTTTAATTAAATTTGGATTATTTTTTTTTAAATTATGCATATAAATTATGCTTATTAATATATATATATATATATTTTTTATAGATTAAAAAACTTTTTGACTAAAAACACATTATTTTAACATTTGATTCAGATGTTGATTTGGTATTGGTAAATTTGTACAATTATAAAAATTGCCGAAATTAGCCCTTAATACATAAAACCATTTAAAGTACTAACAAAAATTAATGATCTAAATTTCAATTATAAAATTCAAATAGTATTAAAAAAACTAGTTGAGGATGACATTTGAAAAATATTTTAAACCTTATTAAAATATTATGCAATATAAATGAAAAATAGTGTCCTAATAAAAACTCTGCGTGGGCATAAAAAAAAGTTTAAAACGAAAATAGTACAATTGAACAGTAAGCTCATTATAAAGCAAAAGTTATATATAACAATAAACATGATCAAATATATCAATTAATTTGTATTATAAACATATTTAAAAGAAATCGACAGAAAGTATCTTAAGAAAAGTATGCTTAATAAACTAAATATAATATATAATAATAACAAACATAATATCAAATAAATAAATAATAACTAATACAATTAATTCATAACATTAACACACAATATTAATAACATCTTATATTAATTATGAATTCAAAAGAAAATTAAAACGTAAAAAATAAAAATGCTCATAAAACGGTGAAAAATGAACGGATTGAATTGATTTTTATATCATATTTCAGAAATGTCATTGGCGGGTTTGGTGAACATTTCAAACCTTAAGTCGTAAAACGCTGGCGTCAGCAAGCGTTATACTCGAAAACGGTTGAAATTTTAAAACGCTCGCGGGTGATTGGGAAAAATTTTTCTGATCTTCGCCAATAATTTTCCCGGAGTCTGGTAACCAAGTACTTTTATTGAAAAAATAAATTTTGAAAATCCAAGCACGCTAGGTAATTTTCCCAGAAAAACGTTTTTTCCTTGTTCTATTATATAATAAGATACATTATACTGTATATTAAATGTCATATTTCTTAAACATTACATACGTTTACATTAATTGTAGAATGAATATTGCATGCAACAAGAAAATAAGTAAAAAATTTTGGTGGAAATAATGAAGGTGTAGCGTTTCAAAATCTATGTCCATGATGTACAAATAAATAAAAATGTATTGTATAAAAATTATCATTTATACAATAATTATCATACATGATGACATTTTTTACTAATTAAAGGATAGAAATATCAACTTTTTATCATACGAAATTGTATTTTATTTTAAGTTTGATGCAGAGCTAACATTAAGAAATTATAATAGAATAAAATATTTACCAATTATAAAACCAGATTATGGGCATAAAAAATGTGAGAATTTTTTAGAAAGCAAATACATGATCTCCGAGTACTCCTAAATATCCAATAATTTTTTGAATAATTTAATTTATATTAAAATTACCAGTATTTTTTTTTAAATATGATAATTTAAGTTAAATAACTCGTAAATATAACTTAATGTCAGAGAATAATTGACAGGAAAAGAAAGTAATGATTATGTATCATAGTAGTACAATTTTTCATAAAAATAGACGAATCATATATTATTATTATGAATTTCATCAATATGACAATATCAGTAATACAATTAATTATATGATGAGTAAATTTAGAAAGCAGCATAATATATATATATATGAGTATATAGATGATATAGAGAATATATATAAATTAATGCCTTCATTACTATTTATATAATTATTCCTTAATATTTCGATTATTAATTAAAAAAATATATATTATGAATAATCAAATCTAAAATTATATAAGTAGAAAAATTAGATTAAATTATCCTCCAAATTGACTAACACAAGAACTACTAAAGGTGAGCATATGCTGGATTCATTACTCCTTTAGCAGGGTCAAACAAATATAATAATTCAAGGCTTTAATAATAAATACAATATTTTTCAGTTGATAAAATCAAAGATATTATTTCAAATTTCTAAATTCAAGGTTATTTAAGTATATATGTTTTGAATAAAAATACTATTTAATTCAGGAATATTACTATTTTTATTGTCAATAGTTTATTAACATAAAACTCCAACCTTAAAATCCCTTAAAGTATTAAATCTAAATTTTAATTAATTTTTCAGAAGAAAATAAAATTTAAAAAACAAATCAAGAAAAGAAGATTCAATTTGCTCAAATTCGATATATTATTCTAATCCTGTTTAATTAGGGTAAGTTCTAAGAGAAGAGTAAAAGCTCATTTTGAAAATTAGACAATGCATGGGACCGAGTATTGTAAATGGATGTCTATAAATTATAATAAATAAGTATAGGATTTTTGTAATTAGTCGAGTTATTAAAGTTCATGTATACTACACAGATTTTTAGTTAAAATAATTTAGCATATTAATATTAAGATTAAACAACGTAAAAAATATTTATTCAATATTTTAAACATCTTTAATTTTCTATGAATGTTTACGCATCATTATTTTTTACTAAGATATTACTTAATTTAAAATTTGATGTTATGAAATGTATTAAATAATAATTCAAAAATATTTAAAACTAAATAATGAATGTATGGTAACAATTATTTTGCGTTAATTTACTGAGAATAAAATAAAATACCAATGAAAATATAACTAAAAGAATAAATTAATTTAATATTAAACATTGGAAAAGAAATCTTTAGTAAATATTCATTTAATATTTTGTGTTACTCGTGGAAGTTTATTTTTATATCGATTTAAAATAAAATAAAGAACAGAAATTTAAATTATCGAACCAAGCTATATTTCGTTTACAAAACAATAGGCATGTTTATTTTACAAAAGAAATTTAACTCGGTGAGAGAAAAAAAAATTAATTAAATAAAATATTGAAAAATGTTATTCAAGAACAAAAATTGAAATTACATATTATTAAATATGCAACAAATATTAAACGGCAATATAAAGGAACAAAGATAATGAACATTTTAACAAAAAACATACCTCAAATGTGTGGAAAACAACAGCTGTCAATCGTTGGAAAAATAATCAAACTTACGTAAGGATTCGGTCTGTAAGGTACGATTGCCGCGCAATGAAGAAACTTGGCAGCGACTTGGCCTTCCATGACATTCATACGTATCACGTCACACTTTTTCATCAGACGCCCGTTGCGAGTTGCAAATGCCTCCATTTAAGCGATTGCCTCACTAAGCCTATCGAATACACTCCGACCATATTCGATAATAGTGGATGGCTCATACGATCAACTCTCTGAGCTTCATACATCGAACGGTGTCTGGAACGTTTGGCTCAGTTTGTGCAGATATAACAGATGTTTGATACTATGTATTTCTTTGGAGACAAAATCGTCTATGGTATTCAAAATTTGCAACCGTTAATCTATTAATCTCGCAACACTTCGAAGGCTGAACTCAGTGGACGAGTGTTCCTCGTAACGGACTGTGGATCTCACAAACTCATCTTCAATCGAGTGGATCAGGCGTCGATACAATTATTCGGCATCAGTAGATATCCAATTAACTGGTCCCGGCCTTCTTCGATTTGCATTATTATTTCTGAAAGTTTCGTACCTTGTGAGTCCATGTTGAGCTTGTTGAATGAAATGATTTTCACGATGCACAATTTTTAATCGCAACCACGAAATGTTAATTAGACACTTACTAGACAAATTCTCTTTACCGTATATATAGGTAGGAATTCTATAGTTGCTTAGAAACAGACTTGTTATAATAATACATTTTCAATTTAATTTAAAAAAGTACACTTTGTTATTTTACTTAGAGCCAGTATACTTAGTTATTTTACATTAAGTCAATGTACTTTTTAATAAAATGTTTTTATACTTTGAGCCAGCATATTTTATTATTTTTCTTCTATTTTATTAATTTAATTTTAATGATTGAAATTGTTTTTTTATTGAGCTAAATACTAAAAAATGAATATTATAGTTTCACTGTATGTTAGAAGGTATATTTTAATATAGTTCATTAGACATTTCTTATTAGTATAAGCTATTTTTTTACACCGATTACAAATATGTAAAAATAATAGGTTGATTAGAAATAATTAAAATTATATATTACTTTAAAGTTTGCATAAAAAATTATTTTGTAATATTTAAAATTAAGAGTTACTTAAAAGTTTTCAACCTTTTAATTCAAGTTTATTTAGACAATATGTTGTCCATAGTAGAATTTATAACATATTAAAAGCAAGTCTAATTTTAGTGCAACAAAAACATCACAAAATTAATTCTATTTTACTTTTTCCCCAAAGAAAATATAGATTTTTAAATTACATGTAAATTATAAATATTTTTACTTTACTATTTCGAGAAAAGTAATTTTAAAAATGTTTGAATCAAATTGTGAGTCAATGAAAATTTTTAATGAAAGCAATTATTTATTAACTAATACATTTAATATTTTATCTATTTTTTCTTAAATAAAATGAATAAGAGAAAACAAAATTGATTTAAAAATGAATTTTTAATTATAGTGGCATTTGTTTACTACTAAATAATGTTTCATATAATTTAAGGTAACAATTTATTATTCTCAAACAAATTTTGAAAAACGTATAATCTGTTTAAACAATATAAAATATATACTAATTTATAATGTGTTATGTATTGTGTTAATTAACAATATAATATAATATTTATAAATGAGACTTAAATTATTTTATAGGAATAATCAATAAGAAATTCACTATTAAAATTCACTAACCCAAATCAGCAATTGAAATAAGTAGAACTTATATATATAACAATTATAATATATTTTTACTTAAAAAACAATGCTTATTAAAAGTAAATATTCAATTAATTATAATTTTAATAATATGTTTTGTTGAATTACACTTCATTAAATAGTAAAAATTTAATTCTAAATGATCACAATTAATATGGTATTTTTAAGTTCATACTGATATAATATAAAAAATTTATATATACAGTAGTCTTCAACTTAGATAAATTAAAATGATTTACATAGAGAACAATAAATTCAAGGTTTCATTATTAGATTTATTAAGGTTGGTTCTAAGATTTATCATCCAGTTGTAAGTTCATCATTTTGGAATTGAGTCGCCAATTATTAGTTTGATGATGTATTCCATCACAGAAAATATTATGAACAGGCCTTACAGGTAATGGGTCCTTTAATAATAAAAAAGAAAAATAATTAAAAGTTTTTTTTTAATTCAAGCTATTGAATTTTTACGTCTTTTCCAAATGGAGTGGGATTTTTCAATGATATTATCCTCTCATTTTGATCTACAAATGCACCATCTTCAAGCAACCTTAAACATATCCTAGCTATATTGTATGAGTCATCTAATCCACAATGAGGATTGCCCTCAAATTCCATACCCAAAAATGTTAACATTCCATTGAGATTGCATAAAAAGGAATTCTAAAATTTTTATTTTTATTTGAAAGAAATATAGAAAATTAATCAAAAAATGTTTTACCTTAGCTTGTTTGGTGAAATAAAATGACCTAAATATTTTTCTTATATTAACCCATTTATTTGCAAAACTAGGATATGGTATTCCAGACATCTAAAATGTTAATTCATAGTATGTAAAAAGACTTATAAAATAAGTAAAAAATTATTCTATTTCATAAATTAAAATAAAAAAACAATATTTAAAATTTTTTTTTTTTAAGTTTTACTGTGAAAATTCATTTTAAAAATATATTTAAACTACATTATCGGAAAAAAAAAATTTAACAAAGTTTTCTAAATAATAAAACTTAAACTATGATAATTAAAATTTTGGTATTTCTAAACTTGAAAATAATACACATATAAAGTATAAGTGAAATGACTAATTAATTACTAGTAATTTCATTACTTAAATTAAGGAAAAGTTTACACGCATTTACAAATTTTGTTCTAGCCACCCACATTTGTGCAACTTAGTTATAGGAATTTATAGTAGCATAGAAATATTTTTGATTTAGGGGGAATAAACCTCCATAATCCATCCTAAAATTATATTCTTAGTTACAACATATTACTATGTTTTTAAGCCAATTAATAAAAATTTGTACTGAATGATGATGTGTATAAAATAACCTAACAAAATTTATAAATACTTATAAATTTGTTTCTTACTTACAATACATTGTCCATACAAAAATCTTGCCATATCAAAGGGACCATCAGCTACAATAGAAAATCTATGTTTATTGCCAAGCTCATGTTTTTCTAACCAGTCAATGAATCTTTTTAAACATGCTGGGAACGGATCAGCTGAATCAACTTGTTTCTGAACAAAATTGAAAATTGTATTTCATAAAATAAGATTATATGACAATAATTTAATAAGCCAATCAAAACTTAAAACATTCAATTTGGTAAGAATGTACATTTTTTTTAAATGGCAATAATTAAAAATTAATATCAAGAATTTTTATACAAAGTTATTTTGTTAAAATATTACTAGTTACTATGAACTACTTTCAGGATGATTTATAACAAATACTTATCTCTATTTTAAATATTTTATAAATAATTTTTAATAAAGTCATATTAATTCATTAAACAGAACCCAACTCCATGAAAAGTAAAAAATGTCATTGTTTAATTTTACTTCTTTTTCTTCCTCGCCTTAATGCCAACTTCTTGGGGTCGGCCACCCTTATCCTAAACTTCCACTTGACACGATCTCCCACAACCTCTACACTCACATCAGATGTCCTCATATCGCATTCAATAATATCTCTTCATCTCTTTTTTGGTCTTCCTCTACCTCTTCTTCCTTCAACATTCATTTCTACAACTGTTGTTACGGCTTCCGATTTTTCTCTTCTCATAACAAGACCATACCATCTAAGTCTATTATATAATGTTCACCAATAACTAATTTAATTAACTTATTGTGTTAAATAATACTAATAATGATAGGTCGATTTTTTACGTCACAAGTAATACTTTTTGTGTAAATCATTTATCTTGCCCGGCGTATTTGTATACTTCTACCGGACTCTGTGAACTTCTTTAAGGGTTAAGATGTCTTAAAGGGTCTAACACGCCGTAGACTAGTTAGGCCCATAAAGTCAAGGGTAGAGCCCCGATTAGTTGGAGCCTAGTTTTTAATATATATGTTAATTTTACACTGAAGTATTACAATTTTGGTTATAAAATATCCAAAATGCATACCTAAACATTTTTATCATTATCAAAACTTTCAATGAATCGGTGCGCCATTCTATTTAGTAAAAATAAAAAATAAAAATAGTATCCTAAAATGTTAGTAAGGCTCTCTTTAGTTATATAAGCTTCTTTAAATTATTTAATATTTAATACAGCCACATTCATCACATTCCTTTATTCACGTCACTTACTGTGTATTACCTTATAACTTTAAACAAACTTTTTTTTAATATTTACTA